GTAATTTTATTGAACCAAAATCGCACTCTCAGAGAGTGGAAACAAACTACCAAAACAAGATTAACAAGACTATGAGCAAAGTATCAAAATATAAATCACTCTAATGAGGCAGACAAAGCTGTGAACAAAGAATCGAATAAAGTAAACAAGACTATGAACAAAGTGTTAAATCAAAACACTCGAGAACGAGGACAAAAAGACAAGGTACAAAGTAACAAAGAAATACTCACTAGGATGCACAGTCACTAGGAGGGAAAAACTCAAAAAGGCATTACTAGGGATCAAAGGCAAGGACTATGGTTCAAGACAAGGCTGCACTGTTAGGTCACATGACGAAAACTCACTGGCAGAGGACAGGGGAAACGAGGACTATTTAAACTCATGAGGGAAGGGAACCCCAGGTGTACACAATAGGTAATTAAGGAAGACAAGCAGACATGTGACACACATTGGAGTGCAATTGGCCTGAAACAAGAGGATGAACCTTTCAAAATAAACCAGGATGTCACAAAACAACATGGAGACAGGACAAAACACCAAAAATTTCCCCAGACGTGACACAGACCGTCCACTGATGGTACGAAAGAGGGAATTCTGGCTCAAAACTGGAGCTCCATCGTTCTTTTTTTAAACTTTTTTCTTTTAAATTCGCCAGACTTTAGCTGGAAAATAAGCAGGCTGTTGGTTAAATGTCAAACCAAAGCCTAAATTTGTCTTTGCACCAGATGAAAAATGGCTTTTGCAAGCCTGAAAAGGAGGAATCCCATTCTCACCTTATAGGGGTGATGTTTGATTCCTTAACCTCCTGAGATCCTGATCCTCCTAGGAGGACGGTGCACTTCTGCCTCTCTGTTCCATGATGCTTCCTTTTTCTTTGACCTTTGACCTCTTGGCCTCATAGCAGACGCTATCAGACACTAGTGTTTGAAATCTAAAGTAAACATTTTACACCAGTTAAAATGTTGTAAAGTAATTTGGAGCCTCACAACCAAATTGCAAAAACATCTAATTAAATATATAAACACATTTTAAATCTAAAGATAAACCCTGAACCAGGACAGAGTCTGGTTATTAAACATATCTGCTCCTACTGACCCA